CTCCTGCTTTCGTTGCTGCTGCTGGACGATCCTCGTCATCATCCTCCTCCTTCTCCTCGCCGCCGCCGCTGTTGCCGTCCTGTACCTCATCTACCGACCTCACCGGCCATCCTTCACCGTTTCCTCCCTCAAGATCTCATCCCTCAACTTCACCTCCTCCTCCACAACTCACCTCACCACCGCCATTTCCCTCGCCGTCGTCGCCAGAAACCCCAACAAGAACGTCGAATTCTTCTACGACGACACCTCCATCAACGTCGCCGCCACCTCCGGCGAAGATGACGTCACCATCGGACAGGGGAGTTTTCCGGCTTTCGTCCACGGCGACAAGAACACGACTCTGCTCAGGGTCTCTGTCGGGAGCCCGGCACAGGATCTTGACGAATTGTCGGCGAGTAAACTGAAGGGTGAGATCAAGAGCAAGAAAGGGTTGGAGATGAAGATTGTTCTCGATACGAAGGTGAGAGTGAAGATGGGTTCTTTGAAGACTCCGAAAACGCTGGTTAGGGTTACTTGCGATGGGATAAAGGCGACGGCTCCGACGGGGAAGACGGCCACGACGGCGACGACCTCCGGCGCCAAGTGTAAGGTCGATCTCAGGTTCAAGATTTGGAAAGTTACGTTTTAAGTGAAAAAAAAAATGGAACAAAATGGTCTTAAAATTTGTAATTCTTCTCTTCTTCTTTCGGTTCTTGATGTGACTTTTTGATCTTATTGTTGATTTGAAAAACAAATATACATTGTCTTTGGTTCATGTAAGATTTTGATTTGTTTATGTACATGGAAATACATATTTCTTTGTTCTCGTTGAGCATTATTTTGTTTTTAATTCTTGTGGTTAGTCCATTAGTATATACAAATAAATAAATAAAATTTGTTGATTTTTTTTATGTGTTATAAATTGAACCGATCTACTAAACTACCCATCTTGAATAAGTGTTTTGTCTTTAGATTCGAAACCATCATTCAAGCATATGAATCATTAGCACATTACAGTTAATGCAATATTGAATCGCATATGAATTTGTAATAATTAAAGAATCTTTTTTCATATTATAATTTGAAGTGATGGGTGATGCATGGGACCACCATTATGCAACTGCTTAGACTTAACCAAACTGTATTATTTGGTGGTGGTGAGTAATTAGCTGGCTTCTTTTGGATTACAACTGCGGTGTTGTCACCTTCCACGTACGATTTTAATAATTATTTTATTTTGTAGTAATGATACATTTATTGATTGATAATTAGGTTATTCTTGAGATACATATAAGTTTCTCACATATATGACACATACACATAAAATAGATTACCCTGTACGTAGTTTAATTAGTGTGTGTATATATATATATATCATATATCGGTTTAGTTGGATACAAAATTTGTGAATATACAATGTGAATAATTTAATATAAATTCCCAAAATGGATTTAATAATATGTGGGTTTGGTGCGATACCATACGCACGAGATCCCTATGGACGGATGGTGTCGATGAAGAAATCTTTCTATCCGCCTCTAAATTTTATCTTTTTTTCTTCCTTTCGTGGCAATTCTTTACGTTTATTTTGTGATGAAGATGAAGTTTGATTAATAATGTTATATAATAATAGGATATTTTGGTATTTTGGAGCCAAATTTCAGATGTAACTGAGAGTTTAAAGATATGGTACCAATTTACTTCAATAGTTAGAATAATCACTTAATTTAAGTAACGATTATTTTTTTATTCTAAGTTAATATATAGGATTGGAAACTCATTAAAATAGAATGTTATTAAGCTATCACGTATTATTTGGACTGTATTAAAAAAAAGTACAATCGATGGGTGGTTGAATCTATTCTTGTTAGAATTAAAGCTCAATTTTTATCATATTAATTTGATACTTTTGTTAAAAGCTTTTTCTTAATAAAAAAATATATATTGTGATGGATTTTGTACTCATAAAGTAACACTCGTTGTTGTAGTGTATTTTTAGAAACGGTCCACGGTACAATATTAAGTTGCATATTATATCGAAGCATTGTAGAATAAAACCTTCTAGATTGCATACTCGAATAACTTTATTTACACATTTAAACTATTGACTTTTTCAGTCAAGAAAATATAATGCGAAGGCTCAACATGTGACCCACATGTCACTACGTGGGCCCTAATTTAAATCCCATGTAACTTTGGCCCAGTGGATTTAGGTCTTCAATGAAGCTTTAAAAACTATTGGGTTGGGTTGCAGGGCTTTTTATTTTTGTTTTTAAAAATAATAATAAAAATAATAGATTCTAAGAGTTTTTTTTTGTTGTTGTCAAAATTAACTAAAAAACTATTTTTTTTTAGATTTAAGAGAAAGATAAATAAAATAAATCGTGTTTTCAATTCATAGGTCAGATTTTTGAGGATTTGATATATGTCACGTTTTCACTCGGAGTCTTGAAATAGAATGATTGTAGTTATTTTAAAATGAAAATAATCGAATCTGAAAATAATCGAACCAATCCCGAATTGAAATCCAAAATCACCACTTTTTTTTTTTTATACATACTATCTTAGTTTTAAAGATTCGAATTTGGATAAGAAATATTTTATAGATTTAACTTTGAATTCAGATATCCTAAAAATTGCGAATATTGTAAACCTATAAATTTCATAATTTAGCTTTTCAAATGCGACCGTAAATTAGGGTATCCATTTAGATTCTACCATTCAAAACTGAATCAGTCATTTTCAGGGAATTCGACAGTTCATTGAAATGAACAATAAGTGTGAACTAATCACATTTATGAGTCCATTAGACTTTGACGTTCACGAGCATTGACTTCCCTCGTCTTCTTTTTTTTTTTTTTGTATCTGGAAAGTTCATTTTATAATCATATAGTATACGAAATATATTTGTATTTCCCAAACTTCAATTGTAGGGAACTGAAAGAAATTGTTTGTAGGAACAAAAAAAAATCCTACAATATTGAGTAATTAATCGTTGAGATTTGATTTTCTTATCTTATTTTTTAATTAAGAAAAAGTTCAAATTTATCGTTTCTTTTTTGTTCATCACTGCTAAAGATTTGACGAAGACATGATGTGACAAAAAATTTATATTGCTAGATAATTTTTTTAAAAAAAAAATACATAAAATCTTATCCTAGGTCGAATTTCTCAAAATTTTTAAAAAATGGAAAAAATACAAACGATTAATATAATTGGCCACCACATAATCTTAAAAAATATCAGTTATCCAATAGAGGAGAGTCGTAAAGGTTTTGAGCCTAATCGGTAGAACATAATTTGTCACGTTCTTTTTATGATTTTTTTTATAACAAAAAACTAAACGACGAATTAAGACGTCCATGTCAAAAAAAAATAAAATAAAAATAAAAACACGTAAATCCTTGGTCCAACTTTCTCGGCAAATCAATGCATGCAACGTAAGGACATTGTTTTAACCCAATCCATATGTCACTTGCTTATTATTATTGTTATTGTTATTATTAGTATTATTATTATTAACAATGACGTTACGTTCCTTTCATGAGTCGAATCTCGTGACTAAGGATTCATACGGTGTACCACACGTTTCGGCGATATGGACTATGAATTACATCGTACCACAATAAATAAAGACGTCTATTTTTAATATTTAATTTAATCAGAAGATATTATTCACATGGTCAAAAATACATTCTCAGTAAATATGCACAAACAGTTACCCCTTCTAATCCAAGATATGAATGATTCATATACAAAATCTAAATAATTAGGCGATTACCAAAAAAAAAAAATCTAAATAATGAGGTCGGCCACGATTGTCATCTACATCCAGTTTGCAGATTTCGGTTGCGATTTCTACTTCAAGAAAATTGCAGATTAAACATGTAATATATAACTCGAGAAATTTCAAAAATATCGATATATTCTCTTCCTTTTATTTTATTTGGCGCCATGCACATATATCTTTAGCGGCATAGCAAAGTAGGGTTTATTGGATCACACGTGACGTGGAGAACAAGAAACCGAAGACAAAAGAGAGCCGATCGATATCAGATGGAGATGCTGTAAGGGACACCTTTTCCCGTAACTCCAGGATCAGAGGTTGGCTTCAAGAGCTCATACTTGACAACACCTGCTCCAGCCCTGTTCTTCAGATTCAGATTCACGTTCCTTTCATCGATCACTCCCTCCAGATACTGCAATCTCCCTTTGAATCTCTCGAACGCCGCGTAGATCACCGGCTCCTCTTCCCAAGCCGGCTCTACGATCTCTCCGATGTACTCCTCGTCCGGCGAATGGCTCGACAGAAGATCCAGAGTGACCATCACTTGAGTGGCTTGCTTCTGCGAAGGGTACGTTTTCAGAAGCAGTTTCTCTGGATCTTCTATGAACTCCTTGAACTCTTCTTCTGTCGGCTCCTCTGTCGGAATCTTTCTCCTTGCCGTCGTCGGTCTGTTCGGGAAATACCCTCCGTATCCGTACTGTCCGAAGTTCACAGCCGCGTGGTGGCCAGAACCCACCCATGCGATCGTTGTCACGACGTTGATCAAGTCGTCTTGTGTCTTTAGGACAGGCCACCACGGCTCATCCTTCTTGTCCCCATGCCCTACTTCTCTTACTTCACTCCACCATCCTTGGAGCTCTTCGTCTGACTGAATCGTGGCCGCGTCCGGATAGTAATGGTTCACATACTCTGTCACCCATTCCTTTATCGCGTCCCACAGGATTAGACCGTCGTTTGCGAAAGGGTAATCTTGTATCGCTAGGCGCAGCCCGTGTTCCGCGGTTTCATCCTCAACAGCCAGCCCCCTTCGACAAGGAACTCGACAGTTTCAGTTATATATGAGAACTATAGATAAAACTAGAAAACCGTAACTACGAGTTTTTTGTACCTTCTGATGAGGTCTCCAGGTAAGCTCTCCATGTCAAATCTCCATAGCTTACCGTAAACAATCGAGCTAATCTCCATGGAATACTTTCCGGGCCAAAACGATGTCTCGATGATTCCATTGGCATTGATGAGGCTTTGACGCGCACGAGCGTTGATTTCCATCGTGTATCGGAAGTGAGGGCACAAAAGCCGGTAGATTGGATGCATAGCACTTAGCTTCCTGTTCGCCGCTATAATGTAAGGCTCCATACAACAGTGAGTTCTAAGCCTGCAATTTTCCCCGAAACGGATCAGCTGCATTAGGTTAAACCAGAAATTGTATATCTAATCAACCATTTTTTTTTTGTAATGAGGGATATTGATTGATTCAGTACCAATGGACAATGAGCTGGTGATAACCGGCATCGTGGGCGCAGACATGAGCCTTAGCCAGTCTCCATAGCCAGCACGAGGTGGCATCGTATCCCGGGGTGAACACTTGCTTCCACTGTGGCCTATTGACATCTTTGGGGCGGGTCAGCTCGATGGCGATGGGCCTTAAAGTGCTGTCGTCGTTGAGGAAGAACAATGTACGAGAACCGTATAGGGTCGTGCCCTCGATTTGCCTCACTTGGTGGACAAATGGCAAGAACAGATCATGATAATCCAATATGAACAGCCTGTTGTTCTCCAGAGCCTGCAAATTATACATTATCATTCAAAGAAATTAACGTTTTTCGAGGATCATATTCATCTTGTACAAAGTCATGTATCATCTTTACCTCTTGAAATGTCATGAATCCTTTGATTTCTTTCTCCACAAGTTCTGAGGTGATCAACGATTCGGGTGGACCATACTCCTCGGGGTCTAGTTTGCTCGTCAATGGCCACTCCTGCAAGAACGGAGCGAGAGGTTCGATATCTTACTTGCAACGGAAGAAACGAAACCGAGCACTGGGGTTTGCGGGCATATATCTATATATGTGTATATCTCACTTTCACTAGCTGTATGCAGTAAGGATTAAGCCCTGCAAGTGTTTGGCGGGCGAATTCTTCGTCTCTGATCCATGAAAACCTATCCCCTGTGACAAGTTTTCCGATGATTTAACACAGACTTAACTCACTGATCAATAAAATTTAGTTACAGGAAGCATATTAAGGTAGGAGGAGGAGGTACTATCAACGAGAACAGGGGCGGTGAACTGAAGAACATCATCGGTAGCTTCAGCGACAACTTTGATAAGGTTTGGAATGAAAGAGAGAAGGCCTTCGTTCTTCGGGAGCTCGATTCCTTCGTCGAAAAGATCGTCTATGGCCTTGAAATGAGGGAACTCCATGTCAGGATCGACCAGAGCTGATTCGATCTGGGGGAAAATCGAAGGAAGAACCGCCAAGACTGCGTTTCCGGCGAAGGCAGCCTCCTTAACGGGACGGAACTCCTCATCCCTCGGGACATAGAAACTCCCGTAACGTTTTTCCGTGTTTCGGTCAGATTCACAGCGTTTTCGGCCTGTCTTGCAACGCCTCGGGTAAGGCAGAAACTGGTTGCCTCCCAAGACAGGACGTTCATTGTCAGGCTTCTCGTCGGGGTCCCCGAGGTCATTGTATACGTCGTAATCGTATATACGCTCAAACACCTTGAACTCGCCTTCTTCTTGACGGTTAACGCCCTGCAGATTCTCGAGCTCGGATTTTCGAAGGTTTTTGAGAGGCTCGGGAGTTTGTGAAGGCAAGTAAGACTTGTTAGAGAAGAAGACTCTCTTAGTCGGGTCGTCGAACTTGGAGCAGACCCATGAGTTGCAGGTGAAAGTAACCGGACCAGTCGGCAATTCAAGAACCACTTCTCTCAAGAAGATCTCTCTGCGGTGTTGGTTTTGGACAAGAATGGCTCCAACTGGTCCGAAATCTTCAGGAAAGTCGAACACGCATTCATACTTCTCTTCTCTCAGCTCAGACCATACTCGCTGCGCGTAGTCTTTCACATTCTCTTTCGCAAACCCGGTTCCTTGTCATCCAAGTAAACGTTTACGTGAGTTAAACCGCACCACACCATGCCCTACCATGGACATGCATAGCTAACATCATAGTACACATGCTCAATGGATTCTTACCAGGTTCTGTCTCAGAGCTAACGAGTTCCACGAGAAGAGATCTTCCCCGGAGATCTGTGATGTCATCGATCGATCTTGATAAGCTAAAGCCCTCGAGGAGCCCTTCTTTCGCTGTAATGAATCCTTTAACTTTGACGGTTTTTCCGGTTGTTTTCTCTTTCTCTTTCCTAGCATTAGACCCGGGCGACGAGCTGGCCCTTATCCCCCGAAACCCGAGGTTCCGCTGCCGTCCAAATGCAACGGGAACGTTGTGGTTGCGGTTAAGGAGGATTGAAGGTCGGTGGAGGAGGAAGGAGAGACTCCTCGAAGAGTCCAAGACATGAAGACTAGACTCTCTGCTCAACATTATGTGTAAGTGTATTCTCACTTATCGATCCTTGATGGAAGTCTCTTCTGGACTATGCTCATTTCCCCTCGCAACTTCATCTACTTATAGAGGTTCGATTATTACTTTTCCTTGAGCAAAGAATCTTCCAGCTCCTGTCTTGTCCGAGGAAGATAACAAATACCTTCATGTCAGAAAGTGACGAGGTTAAAAACAAAAACGTCCCCACAGATTTTGGATTATAAGGAAAAAAAAAACTCACGTTTTTTGTATTTCTTCCACCGATGCTTATAATATGGTAAGAGAGAAGACGAATGCAACCCTAATTGACAGATACGTGCATGGCATGGAAGAAGGGGGGGACGTGTGGACGTGGTCCTAGTTGTTTTTTCCTCTGAATTTTAAACGTTCATGTGGGGGACCTCTCTCATTGATTTCACATCACAAGTGGGTTGTGTTCATTTCTGTATCATATCTCCATGAAAATTCTAATTTAGGACAGTGGAGCAATAATATAACTTAAGTCACTTAGCCGCCCACTACTAGACGATGATTCAAATAATCAATAACCCTCCGACAAATCTGTTAGCTCTATTTTCATTCACAATTGTCTGTCTCCATAAAAAAATCTTCATCAATCCCCCCTCGTGCTTGGAGATTTTCACCACGTTTAGAAATGTAAGAGAAAATGATGTTTAGCTTTAGATCTTGCTGCGTAGTTTCATCAGAAGATGTTGCTGTTGTGGTTTTGCTTTGTCGGTGACAAATATATATATATATATATATATATATATATATATATACACATCCAATGTGATAACTGAGACATCAATCACGTCTAATACATGCATGAGCATCATCAATGGAATGGAACTAAGATTAAATACGCATAATATGTTGGCTCTAACCATGAATTGGTACATAATGTGGAAACACGAGATTGACAGTGAGGAAAATCAGAGTTCGAACAATCAGGACATGAGAGGGAGGAAACTATAAGGATAAAAAGTAAAACCTGCCTTGTGAGGATATCAAGTCTCTTCCTTTGTCCGACCTGAACAGGACTAAGGTTACAGCTGATGCACGTTTCGGGAATCCGAACCGCAAGTGAAGTCGGACTGATCAACGGTTTGCACCATAAGCTCGGGATGGGGAGATTCCAACTCGAAAATTACCTGCGTAAGAGTTTTCGAAAGATAATTGAGTTCAAACATCAGTGTGGTCTAAACCAATTAAACAAGGGCAGACTTTTAACACGCGATTTCCAACAGTAATTGGACGAGGGAAAGACAAGCACCGAAGAATTCCGTTGCATACCACGGAATTTCGGCCAGGTTTAAGGATTGGAGCAGGAACGTAGAGGTTGCACTGTGGTCCAAATGACTGCAAAAATAGCCATGTGACAAACAAAGCAAACAAACAAAAAATTCGTACGTTAGATGAGCTAGCAGCTCATTGAGGACCCGAAGAGAGAGAGGAGGATACAACAGAAATTTACCGGCCAGTATCTTCCAATGTTGAATTCATTGACAAAAGCAACTCCTTTGCCCCAACCGTTGAATGATAGGTATGCGTCTTCTTCGACTTCTTCGCTTATATTATCGATAACAAACTGGCCAGTAAATACAGTCGGTTCCTTCTGATCATCTAACAACAGCCGACAAAGAAGCTGTTAATTCATTCGGATAAACATTGTTTTTTAAAGTTTCCATAGTATTTGCAGAAAATCCAACAGCTTACCAGAGGTAACCTCGAATTTCTCGTAACTCGTTCTGGTAAAACGGGTCTTAAAACTTAGCTTCGGAACTTCATTCAGATTGTGAAAAGGAATTGGTATCATCTTCCATCCATGAAGAGTTTTACCATCTAGATAAACAGAAGACAAAATACCCTGAACAAGAGAAACAACAAAGAAAACAGAACCCCTTTACCTGGAAACTTGTTAAACTGAAACATCATGTCAACTTCAACATCTTAAGATTTACGGATCTTTTCGAGAGTCGATGAGAGCAAAATGTATAAGCTAATGCAATCTGAAAGATGATCTTTTCCAGGGAGGTGAAAATGATAAGGGTAAAATGCCTCCGAAACGAATCTTACCTTCTCATCAAAGATATACGGTCCATAATTTACACGACCCATGTTTTCAACCTACAAGAAATAGACAAATTATTAATTACAGCTGGTGAAAAGTATACAAGTACAACCCGAAAAAATCTCACCAGGCTTATCAAAAGGAGTATGAGCTGGAACCCTTTCATAAACTTCATGAATGTTTGGATGTTTACAGAAATAGAGATAGACAGACAACGTGCCACTACGACCTCACAATTATCAATACAGAAACAGAGACCGGAGATAAAATACAGAATATCCATGTGGGTTCAAACAAGGAGTGGATTCTCTTACCAAAATGAACAAGCCAGTCTTAGAAGCACACTTAATTGTAGGAAGGAAAACAGGTTGGTTGTTCTGTCTCTCAATTGTACCGGTGAATCTCAGTCCTCCATTGTAATTTTCAGAAAGGCATGATATAAACACTTGAGCTCTGTCATGCACCTGCGTTTCTTCACGTTACAAGATTCTCAACTATGAAATTAGAATATATGATATGGTATGATATGTAACTCCTCTCTTTTGTGATTATAACTTAGAAATAGGATATGATATTGAATACAAATTAGTACAGATCAAAAGAGAAGGCGAGTTATACCTTAGGGATCCGTAGTATATTTCCATCCTTCTTTGTGATGTATGAAGATTCATACAGAAGAAACCCAAACATCTGGCAGAAGGCAGACAAATGAAGGATCAGTTTGTGAAACAGTACAACTCCGTACCTGAAGCTAAAGGCACACGAAAAATCTGGAGGCAGTAAAAGAAAGAGGTTTGGTTGTGAAATGATCAATTTTTAGTAATAACGATTCAATGAAGTAGGAAACAAAAAAGCATAGATTAGACAAAAACCGAAATGCCATCAAAGTTCCAAAACAGCAAATTGTTTTATAATAATAGAGGATGAGAATTTGCATTAAGAACGGTGATATCGAGAAACTATTTGCTGAGACCCTGGATAATGGGGAAACTCTCAAACTAATTCCATCAAGTTAATATAGAAAGTTTTGAACATACCTGGCCAGCAGACTCCATAGACATTGGATTAGAAGAATTAATCACATCTGAAGGATCTGTAGTATTAGCTAAATCAAATAGAGACATTGTCCTCCGCAACTGGATCGGTCCATAGGCTTTTCTTTTACAGTTGAGCTTTTTGGAGTGGGGTGCTTCATTGTACTTCTTTATTACCCTCTGGAGAGCTGCACATGGAACAACGTTTATAAAGCTGGACATTGTTGTCGCGTGTGAAGATATCATATTACAGACGTGGGGAAAGTTCAATTTTAATTCTGATTTTTTATATCCCTCCTTTTTTGTTCAAATCAGTTACCTTGCTAAACGATCAGCACATAATCAAAGTGTCGATGTGAGGTACACCACCATATGAGCGATAAATGTGAAAAAATGAAACCAAAATCAGAAGAAGCAATAGTAAGATCATACCCTGGAATTTTCGGTTATCTATGTCACCAGCTTCCTTAATGGGAGCATCCTGTAACGAGATGAATCTTTATTAGTTTGAAATATGTTCAAAAGTCTTTTACTAAGTTGATGTAGTCCATACATAGTCATAGGATGTCAGATCTGGTTTGTAGTCAGATTCTCCAGAATCGGTATTTGCTCCACTGTAAAAGCCAAAGTTTGTTCCTCCATGCACCATCTGAGAATCATACAGACAAGAATCACTTAGCTTCATACACACCGCCTCATAGCTGGGAAAGGATTCCAACTTGGAAACAGCCGATAAATAAGGAATGTAAGTATATACATAAAGAACAGCAGAACCGTTTCGTGACAATATTTTTTCGAGGGCAGCTGCTGTAAAATCAGCATCAGTTTTTGCAATCTTCTCTCCCCAGTGTGTAAGCCAGCCAGTATAGAATTCTCTGAAACGACATAGACGATGACTTCTAACTGGAAAATTTATAATCCAGAAAATAAAATGGGAGATACTTGCGAGGAAAGTGGAGGTGATCTTCCGGGAGCGTTAAACTTCTTTTGCAGTTCAAAAATAGGCCAAGGTGCATCGCCAGTAGAGAAGTCAACAGCTATCAGAAGGAAGAATTTATTCATCATGACTGATATTCAATAAACCAAAATTTCGGTTCAGTGTGATTAAAGGATTCGGAGAAAGCATATACTAGTCTGTACACATACTCAACAGATGTTGGAAGATCAATCAATGAAGCAGACTATTGTCTGCATATTGCTCAAATACACTGGTGGAGAAGTATATGTAATAATGTTTGAAAGACCAATGAAGTCAATGTTTACCTGAATAGACGTTGTCTAGGGGGATGGTTCCTTTCTCGAGAGTTTCTTTGGTGCCTCCATCTGTGGTATATCTGATATCATGAGAAAACAAGTGTTAGAATGCTTGATTAAGACTGGAATAGTTCAGCAGAAAACACAAGTTCATGGTTTCAATTTGGAGAAAAGTATACAAGATGCTGATATATGCTAAGAGATAGAGAAATACTGGAAGTCTGGAATGATGCAGAGAGCTCAGAGTAAAAAGCACGAGAGCAAGCCCAAGAAATTTTATAATTCATACGATGAATTAGCGGTCTTACCCAAGCAAAAAAATGGAAAGTAGGAGGGACAATGCTTGCTGGAGATTTGAAAGCACGAAAATGTACAAGTTGGCTTTTTTATTAGACAAACAAACGAGAGGAAAGCTGAAAGACTTTAACACGGAAGTAAGAATTGTGGTCATATTGTTGAAGATGTAGAAAATCTTACATAATTATGTCATCTCCAAGGTGTCCTCTAGCCAGAGCAAGTAAACTATGAAGATAAGCTTTGTCACTCCCATATGAGCCATATTCATTTTCAATCTGCATAAACTAGACTTAAATCTGTAAAAAGAAAACACAACTGAGAGATAACCCAGATTTTGGATTTTGACTTCACATTTTCTGTTCATCTTTAGCGTTCTTGGACTTCATGGAAAGCTTTTCACAATAATGTCATATTACCGAGCCAAGTTCTTTCAAAATTAAATTAGAGTTCCTCACCACTAGCAGTAGCAGCTGAATCATTCTACCAAATGTACTTGTCCACAACACTGGAATAACCAATCAGTATACATGATTTACGATAATGAAAGAGAACACATCTTGTTTCACGAACCTGAACCATTATAACAGGACCCCCATTGTGGTAAAGCAGAGGAACTACCTTTGGGAGCAGAACAGCCCACCATCTTTCAACCTGTCAAATTTTTATTTTATGGGCAAGCCCAAAAACAAAAATGAGCCATAACAAAAGATCTCAGAAAACTGGGGAGGATTAAAAACTATGGTGGCGAGAAATACATGCCCAGAGAACAAAGTTCATAATGTGCGGAAAACATATGCATATTTGACCAGCATATAAGGAAAAACCAGAAATTAACTTAATATACACGCCTGTTGTATAGTGTATATATATCAATACGAACTTTGAAAAAGGTATCTTAATTCCACTCATTCTCCATTCAAACCACTGGGTCCTCCATTTTAAGTTGCCCCAAGAGAATTGATGTGAGGAAGCTCCAACCCTCACGATTAATTGCCAGCAACAATTATTTATAGAGATAGCAGTAATAAGAATAAGACCAGATTTAACATGGCATGCTGATCAATTGCAACTACGATTATATGCTACCTGACTCATTTCACAGACAACTTACCAATTTAAGATATGCAGGATCAGACGTTCTCAGTTTGAGCGGGGGTTTTATCGCCAGTAACCAAGCAGGAAACCCCCCCAGGTCCCACTCTGTGATTTTAGACCAAACCATGCATCAGCATTTGCTTCTGTTTAAGAGTCCACGTTATATGTGGAGCTGTAAAAGCTAATACCCTCTTACCAACTCATAGGAACCACCGATGAGAAACTAAAACTGACCTCCACAGATATAAGGCCCAGCACGCAGCATAACCAGTAAATCAAGTTTCTGACACAGCTTGAGAAAGGACACGAGATCAGCAATACCCTCGAAAACCATCTCTCCAGGCTTTGGTTCATGCAGATTCCAAGCAACATAGGTTTGTATAGTGTTCAGACCTAATGCCTTGGCTCTCATAAGCCTGTCTTCCCAGTACTGCGTTCATAAACTTGCATTACCAAACCAGTTCGTTTATATATAGAATATCACAAACAACGATCGTCTAACTTCAGAAATAGTAAAGTATAAGTTTTTGTTACAGTCAAGAGGAATATACCTCAGGAAGAACCCGAAAGTAATGCAAATCACCACCAATGATCTGAAAAGGGTTCCCATCTTTCCAGAACTTGTCATCTTTGATATAGAACTTCCGAGACAACACCATCTGCAAAGACGAAAAGAAAGATCAAAACTTTAACTCAAAACGAGAACCGTATAACACCATTGCTTCGAAATTGCAGGCAGAGAGTTCATTTTTAGAGAAAAGGAGGTAAAAGTTCATCACAACACAACCCACAAACGGAACAAATTAAGGTTTTCAATGTACCGGTAGGAACCACAACTCGATTACTACGGAATTGGAATAGACAAGACATGCCGAAGTCAAGTCAAACACCCATTTGGGTTCTACAGAAAATCAAGGACAATCATGCAGCAATTAAGGTACGCATAAGCTTACTTTATCATTCCATTGAATTGCAGGAGACAGAGAGTGAGAAGAGGACAGCGAAGGAAGAAGAGCGGAGACAGGAGCATAGATTTCGACAGCTACGTGAAATAAGAGCAATAATAGAAGTGTAGGATTTCTCTGTCTTCTTCCTGTAGATGGAGAATCACGCCTTCTCGTCGCCATTGTTGCCTCTTTCTGCAAAAGAGCAGAGACCCGAGTAGACTTTAAGAAGAATTCAAGAAGTTGTTTGACGTTTCACCAAAAAACAAAAGAGAGAAGAAGCATTTTAAGCCTGTGGACTGCATGTTGACTGGGAACCAAAAATTGAGATCAGCTACATGGATTGAACCGGTTCAACCTATAACCGGACCGGTTCGAATCTCACATAGGCTGCGCAGCGGAGCGGTTGTCTAAGCAGCCAAATGCCAACGAGTTTCACGTCGCTAATTTCAGAACCTCTTGATTCCAAATCGGTATGATCATAAATTGAAATTTGCTTCGCCTACATACATCCCAACAGATTCCAGTTTATTTCGGTTTTGCTTTTGTTTGTTGCGAAGCATTAAATCCGGTTATCTATTCGCCACCTGTCATCTAAACCGACCATTAACCAAGTTTCCAGCAAAATTGGAACTTGAACACACACATCAATTTCATAACTTGATGTTTCACAAATCAACAAATTTCAACATTCCCAAACTTGTGACAGAAAAAGGAACCAACTTTACAAAAGAAGAGCTTTCACATTCACTTTCACTTCTCTGCCAATTCCACCGAGTCTCCAACAGAACAGAGTCCACCAAATGCCTTTACTTCCTCTGATACGGATGGTACCGTGCCATGGCCGAACCATTCATCACATTTCCTTTGACACTGCTCGAGCTGTTTTCGTCATTTCTGTAGACTTCCGCACCGCCATAGGCAGCTGCAGAACCGTAGCCACCCAGTTGGCTGTAACCCCCAGCTCCATAGCCGAAGTTGTACATTGAACCTCCTCCATAGCCATAACCATAGCCATATCCACCATAACCATAGGCATAACCAGCAGTGCCTCCCATGTAGTTCCCAGGGTAGGTTCCATAACCACCATAGCCGGCGTACATGCTGTAATCTCCATTGGCTTTTTCAAAGTACCCCTCTTCATGAGAACAAATACCGTAATCCCTCCCGTTTCTCCTGGGTTCGGCCCTTTTTATTTCGACCTATGACCCATTTTGAAGTCCTTGGGATGATTATTTTGTGCTGTATATCTTAGAAGGTTTGAGATTAAATTAAAAAAAGACTTGCCTGTTTGTCACCAAGCTCGTGGATTTTTCCCTCGGAGATAATCCTATCAACAGATTCTTCAGTCTGAAAAGTAACAAAACCAAAGCCCCTTGACCTCCCAGTGTTGTGGTCGTACATGATCTGATGCTCAGTTATGTCACCATAAAAAGAGAAATACTCCTTCAGTTCATCTACAAATCAAAAGCAAAGACATAAACAACAGTCGTCCTCTTGACTGGTAATAAAACACAAAGAAAGGAATGTATAAGAAACCTTACCTTCTTTCAAAGATGGTGGTAGTCCACCGACAAATATTTTCTTGGTCTTTGACTTTGATATCGCTTTGAATTCCTTTTCATCCCTGGGAACTGTTCTTTTCAAGTCAACCTAAGAAAGATGCAAAGGAAATAACTAAAACATTAAACAGAAAATGGGAGAAACAAGTGAAGCAGATGACACCTCAAAAAACTGATTACATTTTCGGATCCTACCTTTCTGCCATCTATTACATGTTCTTCCTCCAGAACTTTCTCTGCAACCTCTGAATCAGCAAAAGTTACAAAGCCAAACCCCCTAGGCTTTCCGGTCATTCTATCTGTCATGAGTATACAATCTACAAGTTCCCCAAACTTGAGAAAGTACTCGGCAAAACTTTCTGAAAATGAGAGGGCAAACATTGGATCAAAATGTGCAAGCAGCAGACTTTTATTCGAGAACAAGAAAATGAAACTACAAATGGGCAAGAGCACTCAAAAATTTCTCAGTTTCGACATGAAGAGAAGTGGGCTGTAAGGCTCTTTCTGTCACTGTTGAACCATTCATAAAAGCACCAATGACAGTTCCTCACAAAGACAGGAGACTTCTTCTAGCATCGTCACTATAACCCAATTCTCAAGCAGAACATAGACGGAAAACATTGTGCAGATTTCAGTTATTAAACTAGATGAGAAACTTTCCTGAAGATTTAAACAAAATGTAGAAGAAACGACTTAATCTAGTCCCCTCAGAATAAACACTACAGCCATCATCATCATCATCATTTGTTGCAATTCTGACGAGTTAAGTTGAAGAAACAAATAACGTTTCATGTAAAACTTGCAAAATGGAAACAAGAACAACCAGCAAAAGCTTACCTTCAGTTGTTTGCCAAGAGACTCCTCCTACGAATAGTTTCCTAACACAAAGAAAGACAAGTCCACAAAAGAAACGCTCCATCAATCACTACCATTCTTAAGCAAAGCTCCTAACAAGCAGCTACAGATTTCCAATTCAAAGCACAAGCTACAAGCTAAATCCCAAAGGAAAAGCCCTGAAACCACAACACACACAAAAAAAGGTAGAACCAACGAAACATCACTGACCCGGAAGAAGAGGTAGAGGAAGAAGTATGGCGATGCTCAACAGAATGCTTCATCCGATTCTCTCCTGTATCTACAGGGTTGTCATCGTTGTTCCAGTCATCAGCCCTATGTACTCCATACTCCGAAGACAACCTCTGCTGGTCTTGTCGGTGGTAAGTATTGTAAGAATAGTCATGCCCACCACGGTGGGAGTCGTAATCCATGGACCACCGCGGCAGAAAAAAAAACCCTAATTTCCCCTTCTTCCCACAGAGATTAACCGAGCTTGAAGAGGGAAAAATGAAACCAAAGAACCCAACTTTCTTGTAGTAAGCGCTTCCTTCCAATGGCGATTTTCTGCTCTGAGAAGCTACGGCGGGTTAAGGAAGGAGGAACCGAAATTCAAATTCCGAGGATTGCAGAGAAACCCTAGGCCGAGTTGGTGGAAGAAGAAACGGCTCTGACCGTGAGGAGCAAAACCAAAAACTTCCCTACGATTATTTAAAGAACGAATCTTTGTACTGGGAAATGGGAATACGACAACGTCGTAGAAAGGGGTCAACTTTGGTCAATATCGAAAATTCAACTGAATAGAGTAAATACACATTCAGTATGCTTCGGTTTCATTTCAACGTTAGTTTAGGTTTAGTTCGTTTCAATGTATTCACCAAATCTCCATACAAAAACAAAACTTTATGCAGATGAAGACAAAACCACAAACACAGGTCTGAAAACATGAAGGTTTTCATCTTGATCTCTCTTCTCTCTCGTCTACATGAACGTCAGAAACTGTAGGGACCAATCTTTGAGAAAAAGGATAACTGGTAAAACAGTAGACTCTACTCTCTTGTGTGTTTCTCTATACACTAAAAGAGGAACTAAAAGGGAAAAAGACTGCAGGAATTAGTTTAACTCCAGATAAATTCATGGCGAGGCGGAAGCAGCTTTGATTATCGAGTTCTGCAAGTCCGCAATCGTCCGTTCTTCTGCCTGGAAAGACGAAAGAATGCAGAATATGAAACTTCAGTGATTAGAAAACGATGATGGCTACGAAGGATGACCATAAAAACCCGAACTTGCGAGATTTTTAGCAAATGATTCCTTAAAAACACCTCATCAAAGCACCAAAGAATGGTCACAGTTTCGGGTTTAGTGTAATAGAGGGAAAAGCAATAACCGCAACAACAGAGACACTACCACAGTTGCCAACCGAGGCAGTTCATAGTCCGTTCATGTCTCCACTAGTTGTGTAATGATAGTTTGTTTTCGCTCATTAATTGAGAATTCAAAATCCATTTGCCAGAAGTTGAAGTTACTAAAAAGATTAATAGATATAAGAAGAATATAAAATAGCTAATGTTTAATGTTAGATGATCTACTGACCAAAAGGAGTCTTTCTTCTCCTGTTCCAAAAGTTCTTCAAAGGAGATGTCAGAAGATTCATCATCTGGATTCTCTAGTTCTGCCCCCAACTTGTCTTCAAGCTCCATGGAAGTGCTTATTTCAAGCATCTGCATTATCAAGAAAAGGGTCATGGTTACGATGACTACAATGTGTGTTAACAAACAAATACACATAAAAAATGGAATTGTGAAACAGAAAAAACAATCTAAATAGTAAGGCACGCATCATCGTGGTCATCATCTTATGGATTGGTAACTGTTTACAGAAACAAAAAAAGATAGAGGAATAAGGAGATTATTCCCCTGAGCTTGGAAAGCAATTCACTGGCACAAATCACAGACACCGTGAATCAAGAAATCTTGTATTGATATAGTGGGATTTGATCAATGTTCTTGTGATCTTAGGCTAATGCGATTAAACATGAATTCCACTGGGCAACCCAATAAAATTTTAACGGTAATAAGCCAGTGGAGTCTTGAGTTTAGGTTACCTTTTTGTATGCAGGTGAAAGTTTCAGCTGTTGTTGTAACCAATTATAAACAAATGCATCTTCTCCTAACCTCTTCTGCTCCATTTCCAGCTTGTAGATCTGGCAAAAACACAAAACATCAGCCTTAAAGGCCATGGACACAGAAAATTTTCTGAAAAAGAAATCGATGCATAAAAGAGAAAAATGAAAGCTAATATTCACCTGCTGTGAAAGTCGCTCAAATGATGACCTATTAGCCTTGAAGAGGAGGGCCTTTGTTATTGTAAACTTGCGCTTAATGAACTCTGACCTGCGACAGGAAACAAGCAGAACTAAGTTGTGCCGCCAAAGAGGAACTAAAAAAATCGCTGTACTCAGTCAAATAACTCGTCATCATCGAAGGTAAAAAAACTATTTAGCACAAAACAAGAACATATAAATATCTGCAACACTGTTGTATGAGTTTATTCTACAACTCCTGAAATCGATAGTTACTTATTGCATGATGAGAATATGATACTTTATGAAGAATTATAATCCACACAAACGGAGTGCGCTCAAACCGGAGCAGTAACAGAGAAACTGGATCTGAGTCTCTAACAAGAAAATTAGATATTCTAGTCTCAAGATCCAATGCTAGTGCTTTGATATTACAAGTCATGGTAATATTAGCTTACTTGTGCTGTAGTTCATTTCTGGCTTCTATCAAACAATTAGCAAATTCCCCAACCTGTGAAGGAAAAGAGCACAAAAGACCATCAAAATCTAAAATTAACTGTTTGTAGGCCAAAGCCTAGATTCTAACATAACCAAGCAAGGCGAGAAAAGGACCACATGCTAATCAACAACTGTTTTTCTTCTTCTTCTTCAATCTTACTCAGTAGGAAAAGCTAGGTGCTGCTTTTCTTTACCCGGAAGGACAAACTAGAACCCCTACCCGAAAGTCTCTTTGTTTATCAACTTGAATTATCGAACATGGACGATAAAATTAAAAGAATATCAAACAGACACAGCGATACTAAAGTCTCCATGAAGAATGGTTCTAAAGCCACAGAGATCCAATCAGTTCGAAGCCCTCAAAGCCCATTTCCTAAGAAATGCAGAGGCTTCAACCTTCAAACATAAACTACCAATAAAAGAATTTTCTGACAACATCTTTACCCTTATTCCTTGACATGTGACTATCGCAAACAGATGACACAACTGCTCGTAAACCATACCAGCCAGAAACCTAGAAGAAAGAATAGTTTGCCATGAACATCTGCTTGTGCAATAATATATACCATATCAACAACTTTCCACAGGCTCGGGGTTCATCCGACAGTTTTCAAGACTATACTCTTCCTTGAAAATATGTCAAGGATGAACCTTTACAGACTACAATCGAGAACTTCTGACTGACTATCATAAAATGGTAAACGTTAAACTATCCAATCTGCATTTCCATTCAAAATCTAATTCCACGTCTACATTCTCTTTTCTTCATCAGACATCAAGCAAATTAAGAACAGAGTGACAGAAGGATCATCCTCCTGAATGATACCTAATAAAAAGTGGCATAGGATGAATTCTTTCATTGCAGCCTAAGCAACATATCTGACTTCGATCCGGGTTCAAAGCCAATACCTCAAAAGCTCAACACAACTCCGGACAACCTACCTAATGGTAGCCAATTGATAACCTAAGCAAGAACAGTTATTGCATCAAACAAATTCAAAACCACAAAATTGACAACACAACGAAATGAAAAATCCCCAAACATTGTAGAGATACAGAACAGGATCTGACCTGAGCCAAGGTAAGTCCTTTGGTCTCATTGCATTTGACAAGATGATCGTACTGCTGTTTGATCTTCCTCTGCGTAGCACTACCCGTCGACGTGAATGGGTACAAGCATACAAGCTCCGGTTTGAACCCCGAAGGCGAACCCGAACCAGAAACCGTGTCGGGACCCGAAGCATCTCTCTCCGCCGGTTTCTCGCCGCCGAGATCATTTTCTTCGCCTCTCGGGTCCGGTTTCTTCTTCTTACCCCTTTTCTTCTTCCTCCCACACACTCCCTGATCGCCGCCGCCGGATGGCTCGTCCTTCTTGTCGGATAGCAAGAGCTCGTATATACGCGAATTCGTTACACGGGTCGGATCATTCTCATGGGTAAGTTGTTGGGATGAGTCCGAAATCTCCGATAGACCCGTTCCCGGTTCGGGTGTGGGTTCTGATTCCGAATCGAGTTCCTCCTTCTCTACGGAAGTTTTCCGGGAAGTTTTGAAGAGTAAGAAAGAGGCGAAGAGGAGAAAGAGAAGGGAGAGAGCGAGGAGAGAGAAGAAGAGAAGGGAATACATGAGAGGGTCTAGATTCGATGCTAAGATTTTGATTTGGGAGGGGTACAGAAGCATAGCCGCCATTAACGCGCTTGGTGCATTGCAGATAATATACGAGAGAGTAAGATGCGACGAAATCCTTTTCCTTTAACATACGAAGCTTCATTTTCAAGTTCCTCGTACTTTATTTTAATATTTCACCTTCATGTTAAAATAAAATAACAAAAAGATACCAATTTGAAAAACAATTATTATCTGAATTGATTTTTAATAAAAAAAATTGAATTATAATTTTGAATACTTATAATGATCTAACTATGAACATAATAAAAATATAAATTACAAATTTATATAAAATCTCAGTTTTTATTGGTTTTATATTTATTTATATGTCAAACTTCAACTTCGATAATATATATATATATATATGTATATGTTCATATAGATAAAAATATCAAACTTGTAATTAAAAAACCAAATAAAAAACTGAAATTAAACAAAATTTTATTATCTTGTTAGATATTTTAATATATCTCTGAATTTTACTAAAAAAATTTAATATATTAGTTGATTGTTTGAATTAAAGTCAGTATAAATTTATGTAAAGTAGTAAAAATTCAGATATTTTTAACTATTCTTTCTAAATTTTATTATTTGGTTTTGGTTAAATTTATGAATTTCTTCCCAACTTGTAATTTTTCTCAAGGCCCAATAACGTTAGGGCTAATCCTCGGGTCACCGGCCCAATATATTCGGGAAGAATTACTTAATTAAACATAGTTTTTTTAGAAATTAATAATTTGCATAGAGGATAGCATTTAATGGAACACATTTAAAAGATTCTTCTACGTGTTTATTAAGTTAAAAAAAAAATCAAATTATTGAAGTGATTCCATGGGATGTTCTTGACCCTTCATACAAGGAAAGCATAAAACAAAGGGTAATAATGCCAAGCTTTATATATATATATATATATGAAACAAGACACAAATCTCAACCGAAACGTACCAAACATCATATTTTTCAATGTCTATTTTATCTGTCAACAGCCATTTTCATTCGAGACCATGGATCCCTAAAGAGAAACTCGAGTCTTTTGTGGATGCAAACTGTTATTTTTGCACCAC